GATAACATTGAAGCCAGAGCGAGAGCAAGTCAGTTAAATATATACATATAGCATGTACTCAGTTGCAGAGTCCAAAGACTCTCAAAAAAGAAAAACTCGTATCGTCGCTTGCTTTGGCTGTGCGTTCAGATATATACAGCTATATAGCCGACATTTCCACTCCTCTCCTCGTAGGCGCACATTCGGTATACCCCTTCCACGCGTCTCCAAAATGTGCGCCTATATGGACATTTCCACGCGAATCCACTCTTCTCATACCCCTACCGTGCTGCTCAAATAAAAAAAAAAATGTGCGCCTGGTTCGGCCGCTTGGCCGCGGCGGGGCGCTCGAACCACTGGAAAAAAGTGGGCACACTCCGTAGCATGGCAGTCAGCAATCTCCCAACTAATCTCTGCTATTATACAGATGATTGGCATTTTTTTCAGGAAAATCAATGCCATTTTGTTGTCGAACTGGCTAATCTTCAATCTACACCAACAAACGCTAAAAAAAATTAAAATACGGTGAAGCTAATGACAACATGAAGTTTCTCATAACGAGCCTTTTAAAACCATTTGAAGAGGCCATGAACCTAGAAAAATTTAATATTTTATTAAAGACTTGGAAAGTTAAGGAAGAGACAATTTTTGGCAGCTTTCACGGTCGTCTTGTGATTATATTGTCATAAAACACTAAAAACTGGAGTGATGTGTGAAATTGTTTTTTGTGGTATTATTAAAAATGCGCAAAATTTAGTTTGAAAGTAGAAAAATTGGACTTGAATTGTGACTCATGTTAAAACATTTGAAAATTACTGCTAGTGATTCAAAGTACACTTTTTTGTAGTTTGAATAAGTATTCAAAAACCAAAGTTTCTTGTTCAAAAGATGTACAGTATTGTATGATTAATACAACGTATTTTAGACTGAAAGATTAATTTATTACAATACTTACTCTATTAACATATACTATTCGCTGCAATTTCGGCCATTATAACACATTATGGTAATAACTCGGTTTAACGCAGTGGAATATGTTCATAGAAAATGAAATGTCCTCGCATGTGTGCATGTATTTATTGACGTGCATTATACGATTATATAAAACTTTGGTATACACAACCCACTCCACATAAGGGTAAATGGCCCAACTACTGCACAGGCACCAATTACTGCGCACTCAACGGTAACTGAAAATAAGAAAAACAGACTGAAAAATTTGGGTACTTATATATTGTAACACGCACGGACATTAATAACGTTCAATCCAGAATCACACTTTACATCATGACATTTATAATTATTTAACTGAGTGACTCTAAACGAATCTAACCTACAAAACTTTGTAGTCGTGCGTAGTGATTGGTGCGCAGCAATTTGGTCGAGGGCTTCAGCCTGAAAACCTTATGGGAGATACCCGCGCAGTAATTGGGGGCGTAGCGACTGGTGCTAATTTTATAACCGTGCGCAGTAATACCAGCAAATGATATCAGCACTAACAATTATTAAAAAAAAAAAATTAATAAGTAACATAACAGAAAAACGTTTGTCGTTTTTATCGCACAAGATGCTGCAGATGAAGATTAAGTAAAACTGCTTCAATTTACATCGAAAAACATTGAGAAATGAGAATCAAAAATTTCAGTGCGAAGTAATAGGGTCATTTACCCCTACGTGGAGAAATTAAAGATTTGCTTGTGCTACCCAATGCATACGCAGAGATACATGCGTTCGTGGGAGATTCCGCGCACACAACTTACTACATACACAATGAAACTAAAACTTCATGAGCATGACTCATCACGTACGCAGAGATCAATGAGCTCGTGGGAGATTTCACGTCCGCAACGAAGCTAAAACTTCGTGAGCGTAGAGATGAACCTGTTTACTAGGAGACTCCGCGTGTTTGGTTTCGCGCCCGAGCGCGACAGCCGAGCGAGGCGCTGCGTGCACTTCCGCCATGCTCACGGGCTTCCACCTTGCCGGGAGCCGCCTCTGCGTTCGGGCTCTTGAGCACTGCTCTCCGAGACGACCAGACGCTTGTCCCGCTCACACTCACGACGCCTCTCACGCTGTAATCAACCCGCTTGTACAATATCAAATTAAGTTTTTTACCAAACATTGGTCCTTTGAGAGCCGGATTCCGCGGAGATAACCAGCGACCAGCAGCCCAGAGGACAGCCGGTGGTTCCACATTATTTGAATCAATGTAAGTATAAGTGACAAACAAAGCGCGAACATGGCCGCCGCGGTCGCCATAGTGCCCGCGGCCCGGCACCAGTCGTTCGGCCACGGCAATGTTGAAGCCGTGTCGCCCTGCACGCGTGAAATGTTGTGAGGGACTGCCGCGGCTGACAGAGCTCGCGGTCCAGTCATTTGGCCCAGCCACGGCGGCAAGCAGGCTGTGTCGCTGACGGCCAAAGTTAACGAGTGGTATAGACGTGGCCCGGCTTCATCAAGCCGCCATTGTTGCAATGATCCGCCGACGGCCTCCTTGTCGGCCGTGGCGGCCATCTTGTCCGCTCAAGCGCGTCGCCTGCCGATTCGACTCGAATTGTCGACCCCCCTAACACCGCCAGCTGTGGCTCGGTGGCATATTCCGCTCAAGCGTCGAATACTAATGTTTCAGAATGGACGAAGGCTGGACCGCGCTGTTCGGTGCTCAGACGGCTCTCGCCGAGGTTGTTGGCCGCCTGGCCCGCACCATTCATGAGATGGAGCCAGCCCGCTGGAGCTCGGGCATGGTAGAAGCGAGGTTGGAGTTGCTCGGCGGATATTGGGGCGATTTTCAAGCCAACCATCTCAAGCTCATCGAAGCTCCGCCACCGGAAAAGGCGTCTCGGGTGGTCCAGCTGTACACTGACGTGGAAGCGCACTACCTCGACGCACGGTCTTGCCTCTTCGACGCGAGAGACTCCCTGGCGCCGGCACCTGTCCCTCCCGGGCCATTCCCGGGCCCAGGGAACCCGGCTTCGGGCCGTGGGCCTCGCTTGCCGAGAATCAGCATTCCGAACTTCTCCGGGAGACGAGAAGACTGGGAGAGCTTCCGTGATCTCTTCCGAGCGCTGATCCACGAGGACTGCCAACTCACCAACGTCGAGCGCCTGTTCTATTTGAAGTCGCTCGCTCAGGGAGACGCTAAGACGGCCCTCGATACGGTCCAGGTAGCCGAGGCCAATTACTCTACGGCATGGGCTCTGCTTGAAGCGCGCTACGAGCACAGCCGCCTTCTCGTCCACGACCATGTCACAGCCCTGCGGAACATCAAGCCACCCAGAGACGAGTCCGCCCGCGGGTTGCAGAGCCTCTTGGACACCCTGGAAAAACATCGCGACCAGCTTCGCGCCTTATGTCGTCCCGTAGCCGGCTGGGACGATTGGTTTGTCTCGTGTGGAATGACTGGCATGGATCCAGCGACGAGGCGTGCATGGGAGGAGGAGCTCCAACGGTTGGAGAGTACCGTTTCTGGCTCCGAGGTTGACGTCGCCACATTCGCCACCTTGACCAACTTTCTTCGGCGCCGTTGCCGCGCCGCCAGCTCTGTCGAAGCCTCGCAGCTCGCACGTCCCTTCAGCGGGATAGCCTCACGCTCAAACTCCTCGACATCAGGACGCAATTACCACGCCCTCGCCACGAGCAACGATACGCCATCGTGCCCGGCGTGCCACGAGGGCCATTATCCCGGGCGTTGTGCACAGTTCCAGGGGCTTGATGTACGCGCACGGAGGAAGCTCGTCTACCAGGCACGGCTGTGCTTCAATTGCCTCCGACCCTGGCACGCTGTGAAGTACTGCCCCTTCCGATCGGCTTGCCAATATTGCCGAGAGCAGCATCACAGCTCACTGCACGACGGTGCCCGTCGCCGCCGCTCGGGGCAGCCCGACGGCTCTACATCATCAAAGCAGCCCCGCACGGACCCGCCCACCTCTTCATCGGGAGAGCACTCGACTGACGCGTCACCTCAAGCGTGACTAGCCGTGCTTCCGACCGCCCTCGTCCATCTGAGTGGTCCTCCTGGTCGTCGAGTTCCGGCCCGAGCGCTGATCGATGCGTGCTCCGAGGTCACCGTCATCTCTGCGACTCTCGCGCGCCTGGTCGGCGCACGACTAGAAACCATCGAAGCCAGCATCTCCGGCGTCGGTGGCGAGTCCGCCGTCCGGTCCAGAGTCCGGGCCCATCTCCGCCTCGAGCTTCCAGGGCCCGCACCACCGGTCGCGCTGACAGCGCTGTGTTTGCCCAGGCTCGGCCTGGTATCCCCCTCCACCCCGCTGCACCCGGAGGCAATCCGGCAGTGGGCTGACTGCGAGGGCCTCGCCGATCCTTCGTTTGGCACGCCACAACGCGTTGACCTCCTCATCGGCGCCGACTACTACCACTTGCTGCTATGACCCGGCTACACTCAACGAGGAGAAATCGTCGGGCAGCGCACAGTCTTCGGCTGGGTATTGGCAGGCCGTGCCGTCGGGCTCGCTCCAGGTACGTCAGCCGTCTGTGCAGCCGCCCAATCCGACGTGGCTCCGCCTTGGCACAACGAGCTAACCGCTCTGCTACAGCGGTTCTGGGAGATGGAGGATCTTCCTCAGGCTCACCGCCGCTCAGATGAGGACATCGAGTGCGAGCGTGCTTTCGCAGACCACCGACGCGCCGCGGACGGACGGTACATCGTGCGCCTCCCGCTGAAGGGCAGCGGTTCGCTTCTTCTTGGCGACAGTCTTCAGAGCGCCAAGGCCTCCTTGGCAGCCCTGCAACGCCGGCTTCGGCGAAGCCCCGATATGGCTGTGGAGTATAGTCGATTCATGGCTGACTATCTCGCGATGGGCCACATGCGCCCGCTCACCAGCGCTGAGCTTGCAGCTACAGCTGGGCCCGTCAACTACATCCATCATCATGGCATCTGGCAGCATGCTGATCGCGGGCGCAAGCTCCGAGTAGTCTTCAACGCGTCCAACCCGACTTCCAGTGGCCACAGCTTGAATGACGTCCTCCACGCTGGACCCAGACTCCAAGCCGCGCTCCCATCGGTGCTCATGCGCTGGCGGCGGCACCGCATCGCCTTCTGCAGCGACATCCGCATGATGTTCCGGCAGATTTGGATCGACTACCGTGACGTCGACCTGCAGCGGATCGTCTGGGCTGCCGATCCCAGCCAGCCTCCAACCCACTACCAGCTGCTCACTGTGACTTACGGCGAATCGTGCTCGCCTTACCTGTCGCTGCGTACCCTCCAACAGCTATGCCAGGACGAAGGCCACAACTGGCCCGAAGCTGTGTCAGCCGCCCTGTGTGACCGCTACGCCGACGACTTTCTCTCCGGGGCCGACGACGTCACCGCGGCTCGGCGCCTCCGCGACCAGCTGAGCGGGCTCATGAAGGCCGGCGGCTTTCCCCTGCGGAAGTGGGTGGCCAATGTCCGCGAGCTGCTCGACGATCTGCCTGACGACGTCCGCTTACGTCCGACCTGGGAGCAGCTCAGCGCTGAAGGCCTCGTCAGCGAGCTCGGGGTCAAGTGGGATCCACCGTCGGACTGCTTTCAGTTGACGCCTCCACCACTCCAGCCGCAGAGCACAAAGCGGACGATGCTCGCGGCGCTCGCGGGTCTGTTCGACCCATGCGGCTGGCTCGCGCCGATCGTGTTGAATGCCAAGCTCTTGCTCCAGGATCTCTGGCGCGCCAGACTGGGCTGGGACGAGCCTGCGCCGATCTCAATGACTCGCCGATGGGCGGAATTTACCGCCGAGCTCCAGGCCATCTCCACCTTCACCTTACCGCGCTGGATCGGAGTTGGGCCTTCTTCCGAGCTTCACCTGCACGGCTTTTCGGACGCCAGTCGCCGCGCGATGGCAGCCGTCATCTACTCTCGCCTCGCGCCCGGGGCTGGGCCGGCGCTCTGCCACATTCTTCTGGCTCGGACGAAGCTCTCGCCGATTCGCTCGCTCAAGCCGGCGCCAGAGACATCCGCGCGCATGACGATTCCGCGCCTCGAGCTCCGCGCCGCACTGATTGCCGCCAAGCTCCTGCGGACCGCTGCCGACGAGCTACGCGTACCTGTCGACCGCTGTCACGCATGGTGCGACTCACAGATCGTTCTGCACTGGCTGCGTTCCGACAGGCCAACCAACAACGTGCTGATCGACAACTATGTCGCCCAAATCCAGGAAATGCTGCCTTCGAGTGTCTGGCGATACGTGCCGACCCAGTCAAATCCAGCCGACCTCGCGACCAGAGGTGCCGACATGACCGGCCTTCGCTCGCAGCGCACTTGGTGGGAGGGCCCCACTTGGCTCGCCGAGGACGTCGACTCGTGGCCCCTAGACCCGCTCCCCGCACCGAACCAGCATTCATCCATCTGCTGCGTAGTGCAGCAGCTCGACGCCAGCTACCTCGAGCAATTCTCCAACTTACGCATGCTACTAAGCTTCCTCGTACGCATTCGTCGATTCGTCCGGAGCCGCTTGGGCAGGGGCCCCGTGCTTTCGGTCGCTTCACCTCTTACGCCGACCGAACTCCACGACGCTTTTCTCGCATGTGTACGCCTCAGCCAGGAGAGATCATTTTCGGACGACCTCCAGTGTCTTCGACGGGGCGAACGTCTGCGGAAGACGAACCCCTTGGTACCGTTAGCAGCCTTCCTCGATGACGACGGGATTCTGCGCGTCGGCGGGCGGCTAGAGCATTCACCGCTGACCTACGAGGAGCGGCACCCGCCAATTCTCAGCGGCGCCTCTTCCCTCGCTTCCATGGTCATCGCCTGGGCGCACTCTCGGGCGCTGCACGGTGGATACCGTGTCACCAGTGCCTACGTCTGTAAGCGCGCTTGGCTCCTCGGTGGGCCCCGGCGGATCAAGGCTCACCTCCGCAGGTGCGTCGTCTGCATCCGGCTGCGAGCGCGACCGGCGACTCAACTCATGGCCCCACTGCCGTCGTCTCGAGTCTCCCCTTCTCGTGCCTTTGCCTGCACCGGAGTAGACTACGCCGGCCCTTTCCATGTACTCTCCGCCAGAGGACGAGGAGTCCGGACCACGAAAGGCTACATCGCCGTTTTTGTGTGCCTCGCCACCAAGGCCCTGCACCTGGAGCTGGTCGGCGATCTCTCGGCTGCGTCCTTCTTGGGCGCCCTCCACCGATTCGCTGGACGCCGCGGTCGGCCCGGTGAGATATGGAGCGACAACGCGACTTGCTTCCGCCGCGCTGATGTTGAGCTGCGCGATGCCTTGCTGACAGCCGAGCTGGACTGGGGATTGGTCGCGGGCTCTCTCGCCGATCAAGGAATTGCTTGGAAGTTCATTCCACCGGGTGCTCCTCACTTCGGTGGCTTGTGGGAGGCCGCCGTCAAGTCAACCAAAAGTCACCTCCAGCGCGTCATGGGGTCACGCCATCTCACCTACGTGGAATTTTCCACGGTGCTCGTTGGCATCGAGATGGTCTTAAATAGCCGACCACTGACACCGCTATCTGGAGACACTGGAGACCTCAATATTCTCACCCCAGGGCACTTCCTTGTCGGTGGCCCTCTCAACTCCATCGTTCTGCCCGGCCCCCCTGCGGAGAGCTTGGATGCGCTTGCCCATTGGGAGTTCGTTCGGGGGGTCCACGCCCAGTTTTGGTCCCGCTGGAGCCGAGAATACACTCCAACAGCGGTCAAAATGGACTACTCCTCGCCGGAACTTCATCGTCGGCGATGTGGTCGACCTCCTCGACGCTACACTTCTGCAGTCCAGCGGCCGATGGCCGATCGGCTGTGTCATCAGCGTCCACCCGGGAGTCGACGGCTTTGTCCGCACTGCTACCCTCAAGACGGCGACTGGCGTGTACAAGCGATCCATCACCAAGATGGTCTTGCTGCCTGTGTCAGCGCCTCCCATGGCTCCGCCGCCTCCAGAAGACTCCCTGACCGATCCCGGTTTGGCGGGCGGCACGTAGTTCTTCGATCCAGGATCGAGGCGGGCGGATTGTTTGGTTTCGCGCCCGAGCGCGACAGCCGAGCGAGGCGCTGCGTGCACTTCCGCCATGCTCACGGGCTTCCGCCTTGCCGGGAGCCGTCTCTGCGTTCGGGCTCTTGAGCACTGCTCTCCGAGACGACCAGACGCTTGTCCCGCTCACACTCACGACGCCTCTCACGCTGTGATCAACCCGATTGTACAATATCAAATAAAGTTTTTTACCTAACACCGCGTATGAAGTGGACTGCGTACGCAGAAATAAACACGCATTCAATAACGTAGTGATTTAAAGAGAAAAGGGGTGAGGTTCAAATTAACAAGAGAAGCGTGTTTAACTATAGAAACTCTTCCTTTATTACGTACTTCTTTATATCCTATATATCTATGTATAATATACACAGACAGATGTAAGCTGCTGCTTACGTTGCCTGTGAAACTCGCTGCCGTTGCTGTACTCTCATGTGCTGTGTTGCCATTGCTTTTTGCTGTTGCCGTTGCAGGTTTTTTGCTCCAATGACGCCGCTGCCACGTCCGTTCCCTCTTTTAAAACGTTTATCGGTGGGGCTAACGTAACTATGCGCTAATTTGGCTGTTTTTGAAGTTATACTTCTACAGGCGCGTTCTGCCCTACAGAGTAAATGAACGGTTTCAGATTGATGATCTTGAGAAAAAATGTAATGGAAGTGGATTTTGCTTAAAGCCACGCCCCTCTTGACGTACTTCTGATCCCCCTACACCACCCAATATCATCACACCACTCCACACCACACATTTTAAATTTTACAATTTTTTTCTTTTAACTTATTTGAAAAAAAAACAAAGAGTTTTCAAAGAGATTTGAACTCCCGTCCTCTTGCACACTGCCACTCCACATCATCCACACAAACATAAACCGTGTAAATCATACCATACACAACTTGAACTTCTAGTTGCTGACAGATCGCCTGACGTCATTGCTGTCATCGAAACCTTCCTCACGCCCGACACCCCGGATGCAGTCGTTAGCCTTGAGGGCTACTCTTTGTTTCGTGTCGACAGGGTGGGGAAGGAGGAGGAAGGCAGTGGTTCCTACATTCATGATACATTCAAAACTACCATCCTTGCCAACTCAGGCCCAGACTTTGATAACATAACAGAATTTCTCATACTTTAATTATCCATAGCTGCCCACAAACCCTAATAGCCATAGTTTACTGTTGTTGCCCTTCTGCTGCTCTACCACACCAGTTTTTTTACACACTTTCCAACCATTTACCTGCCTACTCAAACATCATCATCACTGGTGAGTTCAACATAAACATGCTCACGTCATCCATCTCATCTCAGTTTCTAGTTATAAAAATCGCCGAAAATTCACTCTATCTCGTTCCATCAAATCTGACGCACTACGCTTTTTATCCTAATAATCCATCTCCCACCTGGATAGACATCTTCATCATTAAAGACCCCTCTGCACTTATTCACCATCAACAGTCCACATCGCCATTCATCGCTGGTCATGACTGGATCCAAGTAGCCCTCCATTACATCCAGAGTCCACCCATCTCAAAAATCATCTTGTCACGCAACCTTAAACACATCAACACTGAAACACTCTCATCTCATATCGCTGCGTCTGCACCATCTTCGACCTCACTCACAAACTGCATAAATTTAGATTCGTTGGATGCCATTACAGCGCGCTTTTCGGCGTCAGTACTTGGAGCGTTCGATGGCCTTGCCCCAACTAGATAAATCACCCTGTCGTCGCAAAAAAAGCCCTGGGTCACTCCGCAGATTAGAAACATGATGTCGGCTAGGGACTGCGCCTACTGTGACGCCCGGCGCATAGAACTGCCATCCGAGATAGTGCGATATCGCCGTCTCCGCAGCGGGGTCTCAAACTCCCTCTCCACCCCCTCTACCTTCGGAAACTCAACTTCACAGGCATCACTCTACCATCACCTACTCAGGTCTTTTCTCCCGATACACTCATTTCCACATATACCTCTGCAATAGCTTCAACAACACCGCTCACCCAAAATAACCTAAATGATTTACTCACTAGCGCCACCACACCAGATCACTCTGCTACCCCATTTAGTTTCAAGTCCACATCGTCAGACAAAATTCGCCAAGCAATCACCTCATCCACGTCAAAGGCAATGGTTCATGATGGTCTATCAAACAAAATGCTACGTCTCTCTCTATTAGTTATCCTACCATTTATCACTCTCTTGTTCAACAGTTTCATACAGTACTCGCACTTTCCCTCTCTCTGGAAGAGGGCCCTCCTCCTCCCTTTGTCTAAAACGCGTCAACTCATTTCACCCTCAGACCCTCGCCCCATAGCTTCCCTCTGTGAAATTTCTAAAGCCTTCGAACGTGTCCTATTTCAACAGCTCTCAGACCACGTTTCGAAAAAAACCTATTAAACCCCCGTCAGTCTGGCTTCGGGAGGAGACATAGCACCCAGTCCGCCTTGCTTGGCATGACTGAGGATATAAGGGAGGTGATAAATCGTCAGGAAATCACGATCTTGGTTCTATCTGAATTCTCAAAAGCCTTCGACACAGTCCCCCACCTGAAGCTTTTAAAAAAACAAAAACGTCTTAATCTCTCCAATAGCGCCTTGACCTTAATCCACAGCTACCTTCATGACCGTCATCAGGCCATCGGAGGGGGGGATGCCATCTCTGACTGGCGCTGTGCTCCTGCGGGCGTCCCTTAGGGCAGTGTTCTCGGTCTTCTCCTTATCTTACTTTACATAAATGACCTTCCAGTCTTCCTATCCCACTCAAACCACATGATCTATGCCGATAACACTCAGATCTATCTTCATTGTTCATTCACCTCCATCAATCAAGGTATTGCACGTCTGAATCGTGATCTAGAATCGATCGCATCTTGGGCATACCAAAATGCTTACATCTCTCGACTCGACTTATCATCTCTCATCCCCATTCACATCCATGGTGAACGAATCCCCGTTGTGGAGAGGGCGACGAATCTGGGTGTCATTTTCACACCGACTTTACACTGGACTCCTCAGATAAACAAAATCAATCAGAGAGTGCGTCACACACTGCGGTCCCTTAGATTCCACAGACATGCCCTATCACGTGGCCTTAGAAACTTGCTCGTTGAGACCCTGGCCTTCCCCCACCTAGACTACGTATCGTCCGTTTTCTTTAGCCTTGATGCCACTCGAAATCTAAAAATTTAACGGGCTATTAATGCATACGTTTGCTTCGTGGTAGGCACGATTCCGAGAACCTCACATGTTACACCTTGGCGACTTCAACTGGGCTGGCTCTCAGCTCGACGCAGACGTGAGTACCATCTGGGATGTCTTGCTTTCAATATCATTCGTCATCAATGTCCCTCTTACCTCGCAAATCGATTTCGTCCAGCACTTCACACAGTCATAAACCAACGTACCCTACGCCATCCTCATCCCATTCTCATAGTCCCCCCTCCCGCACCCGAGAACGAGACGACGCTTCCTACATCCACGCCTCCGACCTTATAAACTCCCTGGTACCTATCAACGTCGACGACAACACATACCAGTCTTTCAAATCCATGCTAAATGATACCCTACTACAACGCGATCAGAGCGAGTGGAACGAGCGCGTTAAGCGCGAGTGCATAGCATTACAGGCCCCGCCTGCCGGGCCTCCTGACAATGCGGGAAGCCTGGTGGTATAGTCAACCATTCGCCACACTCATGTGCCTCACAAATAGTCATCTCGAGCCGTACGTCACTCACCCATTTTGTTACGCGCCATTTTCGGTTCGATATCCCCTGACATTCCACTTGCACCTCACCAAACGTCGTTCCAAGCAATATGTTATTCTCACCAACTCTGTCACGCGTCATTCTCAACCCACAAACATCTTCATCTTACATTTGCCTTCCACACAACACACTCATCAACCTTTCTCTTGCCGCCACAAATCGATCACCCAGCATTCTCTAGCCATCACAATTAATTACCTTGCCCTCTACTCGTGCCACTCCATAACGTTAAGTACCTCCCTTGCGTTGCTTAAAAAAACTAGCCATACTTTATGTCCTTGTTATTTACTCTCGGTTAATTGCTGTTTTTGTTAATTTTTAGTTAGTAAGCACTAGATATTAAGTTTGCTATTACTTATGTATAATCAATTTTCGGCCAGATGGGGATTTCCCCAAGGCGTAATGAATTTCTTAAACACTCTTAAACACTCTACTATGAGCGGGCCTGACATAGTAGTAACGATTACATCATTTTATCTTACAGTTTGTAACTTATTTTCTGTGTACATTACTTTCAATGCATATTATTTTCAGTGTAAATTTTTATTTATTGTGTATTTATTCATTTGATTTTATTTTACATTAAATGAATAAGTAACTTAATAATCCTTTTTTTTGGTACATGTTTTTTATTTAGTACATGTTTTTTTACAAAAATTTGGAACATCCATTTATTCATTATTAATTTATTACTTTTAAAATCAATAAATTATTATTATTCATATAATTTTTCACATTTTTGCAGGATTTCGATGTATAAAAAAAAAAGATTTCCGTACTGTATGAATACAAAAATTAATTTTTATTACGCTTTTTTCTTTCACAATTTTTACTTTGTGATTAAAAACAAAATTCAAAGAGGTGGGAGCAGCGCAAATATATGGTGCATTACTGGAAATTATTTTTCTCATAAGGATAAACTCATATACACGCTTTTACGCATACTTCACCCCTTTATGACTTCCCTTTCTTTGAGTATAACCCCGGTCAATTGGCGGTGGTAACAATCGGCTAAGAATATTATCTGTACCGACGAAACTCTAAGATTAGGAACCAACACACAAACGATGTTAGTGTTTATATGTTAGAGGGCGGGTTCGTTGCCCTGTGTAAAAGAGCGAAGTAGCTCGGATTGCCGATTATATATAAAAAAAACATTTAAAATAATTATTATGGAGTTTCAAAATTTACCTGTTGAA